CGCTTAGGCAAGTAAAGGCATACCATAAGAAAAAGGAAGACTCAGGGCGTAAAGCCAGGACCGCACCGACGAAAGATGTTAGGTTTAACCCATACCGAATATAAGAAATTATATGTACAATTGAGAAATAAATGTATATTTTGCGTTAGATAACGAAGTTTTGTTGTACAATATTTCATTATTAGTAAAAATTCTACATCAAACTAAAGAACAACAAACTAAGAACAGAATGAATTCAGTGGTGTTGAATTAACCGAAGATAAGTAAATATTTAGTAACAACTTCAAGATGAAAATATGATAATATTTGGTCTGAATGATGTTCAATATAATAAAGATTACTATGATTTTCCACATGTACGCACGTATACTGAAGGTATTAAATTATTAACAATGGCAACACTTCAGAGCAACGGTACAGCAAATTAGCAGATCTAGGTCAGACCGATTGCTAAAACAGGACCCAATTTTATTTTTCTCAAGCTAATAAAGTAGGAAGATGTGTGAGGGGCAAGCGAAAAAGTAAATGTTAATTTTAAGATTTTTTCACCCTGAAGCGAGAGGTATCGAAATGGCAAACGCGCATTCGGTATGTATGAACAAAAACTGAAGTGCCGTTGTGTTACAATTTCAGTATCTAAGGGCCCATTCGGGCACAGCTTCCTAACAATAAGCGGTCCCTCTTGGACTTTGGAAAGCCACATGACTCTGAAATAAACATTATATGCCGCCATGTTCGACACGTAACGAAAAAAATGTTTTAGCAGTATGTTATTTTTATACGAATTTACATCAGGTTTATACTGGTTTTATTAGCAAAAGTTATGCACTTGACCTGTTTCGTTCGCAAAAATGAGCCAAAAACAAACAAATGAAAATTGAACATCAACGTAAGAAAAATGCAATAAAATGATAATGAACATGTAAACGTATCAATCCAAGTCGAAAAATATTTACCATGAGTCTCTTTGGACTAAAAGTTATATGAAGCAATTATATTTGTCAGATAGATTAAAAATCATTGAGCTCTTAAGTGTAGAACGATGTAAGCTCGCCCTTTTCACTACCGATTTAAATACATTTTAACCCTGATCACTTAAAATGGGAGGCCAGGGGTATGATTAGGTATTAAAATTACATTACAAACCAGCTTGCCCTTTACAGGGCGGTCGCTAATCGTCTGAACAAAATTTAAAATAGCAGCAAAACGAAGTCAAGTAAAATGATAAAAAAAACGGCTTTAAACGGTTCAAAAGTATTTCTTTCAAATTGAAGAATTTTGATCAAAAATAGATTTTAAATAAAAACTGGAGCCGTATCATAAACATCATGATTGGTATTTGAAGTATTAATAAATAATGTTTCACAACTTTGTCATCAATATTTTTTCTTAATTTAAACGTGAAATAATATGAAAGAAAGTTCTAAATTTTGAGTACGTGCAACGTTCGAAGCCCTCTTGCTAACTGATGTTTAACTTGTTGAATTTGGGAAAATTGAAGCTAATAACCCTGCAGGCAAAAATAAAATTCAAAATAGCACTAAGTAAGCATTTCTAATTTATAAAATGCAAAAATACTAAATAATTCTAAATGGGAAATGGCAAGAAATTGCATATCAATCAGTAGACGCTAAAATGTTTCAAATAGTTATAAAATGCCGGAAAATCGGGAAAGCATCAGATTGCCTGTGGCACTTATTTTTTTTCTCAATTTGGTTTACATTATGTAGCTCAATTAGCTTAAAGATTTCTCAATATCTACTTTTTTCAAATGCAATTGATTAAAGGAAAGCGTAAATTATCTGCAATATCTTCTTCCTAATTTTTTTAAGGTGATCACTTAATTTTGGCAAGTTCCAAGTAAATGGCGCAAAGATGTATAAAAAGCACACATGTTTCTGTTTTAAGACCACCATCAAGTAACATTATGCATTTGATTGCAAATAAGATGCGAAACACGTTTTATCAAACTATTATTTGAGCCTGTTAATTAATTGTGTATGTATTTCTAATATTTCAGTAGGAACATTTAATCTGACGACGACTGAAGATGAAAATCTAGGAACAGGTCTAAATCGACAGCCCTGAAGAAAACCATTGTGAAAATAGAAAAATGGTTTTGTTGTTTCTCTTATCTGATTTGTCTTTGGATTAATTATATATTTAACTTTATTAATCATTAGTCTTAATTATTAATTAATGTATTAATAAATGTATGCCAATTCTGTAACTGTGTTTGCTTTTATTTGTATCTGGCCAATAAATTTGCCATATGTTTTCCGATAGGTTTTTTGCGTTTTATATATCTAGCTCATTTGCTTTTGTAGTTGCTGCTTGGCTACTGCCATATAACTAATACCTAATAGTCTGGAAAACATTTCCATAAACATCAAATTTCAGAGTCGTGTTTTCTTACGGTCAGTGCGTTTTTTTCTGTTTTATTGCTCGGTAACTGAGAAAATTACAAAATCTACGTTTTAGTGCATCAGCTCAATAAATTGAAATGAAATAAAATAATCACTCTTTGTTAATTATACCCAACTAACTGTATTACTGGGAGACAAAATGTGGGTGGGTATCGGGCGACGAGCGAAGGGAAAATCGAGTCAAGGCAGACGCTTTGCGATTCAACTTGGTGTCGGGAGAGTCAGGAGCTACTCACAGGGGAATTTCGAAGCAATCTCGGTGTTTAGTTCCCATGGGACAAGACTCAATTAAACTTTAAGATGATATGCAAGAGCCCCCTCCCGCCGTACACCTCAGGGGAGAGTAACCATCCTCCTTAGCCCATTTTATATACATGATTTCCAAGGGACCGATATTATTATGGTGAGTTGAAATTTTTAGGTCACAGGAATATTGAGGACATAAGCCAGAGGTGTACGACGGCAAATCGATGCTATTAGGAAAACGTGTGCTTTATGGCCGTAATTCTTGAAACACAAGCCTAATTCCAAGTATGGTTTCAGGAAGCGGTATTTTAATGCAGAATGACCTTAAAAGCATGTTTTCTTTCCTAACATTTTTTTTTAGTTATAAGGAAATATTTTTATTATAGCTAAACTTAGGCTATTTTTATTAAATAGATTTAAATAAATATGCCTGTGCACTTGTACAATTAATTGAAATATTCTCTGTTCCTGTGGCCAAACCGCTAGGAAAAAGTAACTGTATTTAAAAAAAAGTAGTCT